CAGAAACTGTCTCAACACAGTTGTTTTCCTTTGAGAGGCATAGCAGACGTAAGTGACAAACCCAGAAGGATAGGCTGATGGTTTTAAAAGGTCGCAAACAGTATATCTGGTACTTCTAAATGTTAAAACCCATGAACAACTCTCACTTCCATACATCGCTACTGGAAAAACCATAGCTTTGACTATGCAGACCTTTGCCAGCAAGGTGATGTCTCTGCTTTTTAAGATGCTGTCTAGGTTTGTCATAGCTTTCCTTCTGACAAGCAGGCGTATTTAAATTTCGTGGCTGCTGTCCCCATCTGCAGTGATCATGGAGCCCAAGAAGGTAAAATCTGTCACTGCCTCTATATCTTCCCCTTCTATTTCCCAGGAGGTGATGGGGCCAGTGGCCATGATCTTAGTTTTTTTGATGTTGAGTTTCAGACCATTTTTTGCACTCTCCTTTTCACCCTCATTAAGAGCTTCTGGTATCATCTGCATATTGGAGGTTGTTGATATTTCTTCTGGCAGTCTTAATTCCATTTTAGGATTCCTCCAGTCCAGTCTTTCACATGATGTATTCTGCACATAAGTTAAATAAGCAGGGAGACAATATACAGCCTTGTCATACTCCTTTACCAATTTCGAACCAATCAGTTGTTCCATATCCACTTCTAACTGTTGCTTCCTGTCCCATATATAGATTTCTCAGGAGATAGATAAGGTGGTAAGGCACTCCCATTTCTTTAAGGACTTGCCATAGTTTGCTGTGGTCCACACAGTCAAAGGGTTTTGCGAAGTCAATGAAGTGGAAGTAGATGTTTTTCTGGAACTCTCTGGCTTTCTCCATAATCCAGCGCATATTAGCCATTTGGTCTCTAGTTCCTCTGCCCCTTCGAAATCCAGCTTGTACTTCTGGGAGTTCTTGGTCCACATACTGCTGAAGCCTACCTTGTAGGATTTTGAGCATAACCTTGCTAGCGTGTGACATGAGTGCAATTGTACAATAGTTGGAGCCTTCTTTGGCACCGCCCTTCTTTGGGATTGGGATCTAGACTGATCTTTTCCAATTCTCTGGCCACTGCTAAGTTTTCCAAACTTGCTGGCATATTGAGTGTAACACCTTAACAGCATTATCTTTTAAGATTTTAAATAGTTTGACTGGAATGCCATCACCTCCACTGGCCTTCTTGTTAGCCAAGCTTTCTAAGGCCCACTTGACTTCACTCTCCAGGATGCCTGGCTCAAGGTCAACAACCACACTATCTGAGTTGTCTGGGACATCCAGATCTTTCTGGTATAATTCCTCTGTGTATTCTTGCCACCTCTTCTTGATGTCTTCTGCTTCTGTTAGGTCCCTACTATTTTTGTCCTTTATCATGTCCATCTTTGCACAAAATGTTCCTTTCATATCTCCCATTTTGTTGAACAGATCACTGGTTTTTCCCTTTCTATTATTTTCCTCTATTTCTTTGCACTGTTCATTTAAGAAAGCCCTCTTGTCTCTCCTTGCCAGTGGTCACTACCACTTTGTAAAGGTTCCACTGAAACAGAGGTCCCCAATTTTGTCCAGGCAGAAAGCCAAATAAGGCAGTTCTCCTGTTGGTGATACCAGCTAGAAAATCCAGAAATTGGGAGATACTTGCTGCAGCAAGAAAGATCCATTGATTGAACACTGCTCTATTCTCACAGATAGATGATTCAGAGCTTTCATCAATGTCATCTCAGATCTGGCATAGCTAATTCCCCACCAACACTTTGCTGTACTGTATTTAAGACGGGGAATTACAAATATTCAGATCTCTCTCTGTCCAGACCATGGGCTAGACCAAACAAGATGCCAAACCATCTCCTCTACTGCTGGTAATCTGCTGGTAAAAGTTGGTGGGGCCAGTAAGGATGTATGAAGGCTCCTTCTCCCCCACCAACCTTTCCTGTGGCTGCTCACAACATGTTTCAGTGTTACTTTACTGTCTAGCTATGTGTATAGCAAAGGAGAATATTTCTAGCTATACACTGTTATGCACAGTGCCATCAAGATGCAGCCAGAGTCAAGCCTTACCTAACAAGCTGAGCAAGGTAGTAATCACAGAGAAGGTTGCTTAAGGTATACAAGCCAACCCATTTAGATGATTACAGCTATTCACTTCAGGATAAAATACTACCTTTCATTGTTTCAATGCCTCTTGCCTGTGCTGTAACTGCACTCACTAATGCCAAACGACATCTCAGCCATACGTGTATGTTCATATGTTCTTGGGCTATTATATTGTGAAGCAGACTGGAATCTTCAGTACAAATCCATTCGACACTTGCCTAGAAGTCAGAGGAAAAATCATTTGGGAAATCAGCAAAACAATCCATTGTTCAATTATTCTGTTGAAGATTAATATAATATAACCATATAGAAAACTGTAAAAAAAGTACATATTTGGGTTTATTTACTATAATGTTTGCCGTTTCTATTTGAACTGATTACGTAGATTACTGTACTGTATACTGCATATGATACATTTATAGTTTAATGTCACCTGTACTACATAAGGGGAATTTTTGTGTGATTGACTCCATCTTATATAACTCCAAAACTGTGAAACATAGGCTAGATATTAGAAATAGTACATAATTAGAGCTGATCGTATGTCAACAGTGCAGAGAGATGAATTAGGCAGTCTTTTTGGATTTCAGAAATCAGATGTCAAAAGAATGCCATTCCTGAGTCCTGACAACTAATCATAAAGCAAAGGAAGCATACACCCAGAGGTGACAAGCTCTCCTCAAATGATTTCATTAATTAAGGATGTTCTTATTCTAGTCACAGGCAATTTCTAATGCCTCTGTGGTGCCTAGCCTGATGAAGACCTGAATGGACTCAAAAGCTGGTTTTTATGCTTTCCTAAAGGTCTAATAAAGCTATCACCTTTAGATAACTAATATCCTAGGCACCTAAAACATATATTTCATTGTTTAGAGGCTGCAGCACTATCTCCAGTCACTAAACGGCTAAACCCTACTTAGCTATTTTTCTAGGACAATGGCTCCTATTGAAAAGGGCATCATATTTAAGAAAAACAAATTTATTCCCCTAAAAATAACAGAATAATAAATTGCAAAACAAGCATAATTCAAACTGGGAAAAGCTACAGGCAGAGCAACTCAGGCTCCAGATGAAAAACTTGGCAGGATAAGAAGCTCTAGAGTAGGTAAGTGGGTGGGTGGAGAGAAAAACACTTTGATGGGCAGGAAGAGCAATGGTGTTGGGGAGGTGAGAGGATTTCCAGCCATCCAAAGCTTAGTGTCATTTGCATTAGGCAAATAAACAGATAACAGAATACTGCATTCTAATCTTGATTATAATTTTGATTCACTTGTGTTTTTCGCACTTCACATCTGTCTTCCTCCAGCTATGATCCTCCAGGTGCATTGGTAATGTGTCACAAATCCAATGCAGCTAGAGGAAATTTATTTATGTATTTATTTATTCAAAATATTTTTACCCCACTTTTCTTCTAAAAAAGGATCCAAGGCAGCTTACATCACTGAAAAAAAATATTAAAACCTGAAAACTGTAAATTATTCAAATATTAAATAAAAATTTATAACATTATATTTAAAATGTTAGGTAAAAGCTTTAAAGGCTCTTTTTTATAATAAACTGACTGATCAACTTTAAAATCTATAACATCTACCTCATCTGTTTTATCCTTGTGTTGTGGTACCTTAGATTCCTTCTTAAAAACACTTGCATCTTGAAGAAGCTTTATTGAGGAAAATGCCAAAGCAGCACTGTGATAAATAAAAGATTACACATTATAGAAGTTGGTGTGTTTTATATTTTGAGGCAATGATACATTAGCTGTCATTAACTGTTTTTAATAAATATACTTACAGCTAACTAATATTAATGAATTAAAGTGATATTGATTACTTTCCCCCAAGTTACAGATCAAGCATTTCCTGAACCTATATGTGAGGAATGACACCACAGAGGCTTTGTTAAGGCAACAGTAAATTCCCCATACAGATATTCCCCTACAATGGACTGCTTTTTATTATTTAAGGTACTTGTATGAATATTTCCAAGGAGGTGTCAATATTAAAACAGAATTCAAAAGTATCTTCATATTGAGAACGCACATATTATAACATAACATAACAAAGCATTAGAAGAAGGATGGACTGTGCCTCTAGTGTCCAACTGGAAAGAATATATCAGCGTTCCTCAATGAAAATGTTTCCCAGAGTGGCTTATATACTATCAATGGTAACAAGACAAGCCTGTAGGCTAACGATCCAAAATGATATAACACAAAAATTTTAAAAAGGGATAAGAGAAGAAACAAAGAGGAAGCCAATAGAGTTTCTTCAGGACTGACACAAGGGCCCCACTTCCCGTCCCACTTCCCTCTGAACATGCTCAGGAACCAATTACATTTTAATTTGGGAACTTGCAGATATGAACATTTGACTGTAAACGCATGTTCCAATTTATTAATTTTTGGAAGGAACTAAGTAGATCAAGAAATATAGACAGATAACTTTTTTAATGGTCAATAGGAAAACAAAACAATTCATAAGACAATCCTTCCTTACTCAGCAGCATAGACAAGGCAAAGCAGACAGATACTGAATGCATGGAAGCATATCAAGGACAAAAAAGACACAACAAATAGCAGCCCTACATGATGGCCCTACATGCGCCTCCATAAAACATCCCCACTTTGAACAAACCAAACTCTTAAAGGGTTATATTAAGTTACAACATTGTCTCTGAGTAACTTTTTAAAACTATTTATTTTGATTGAAATGTTTAGCTGCTTTCAAGAAAACGCAGTGAAAACAACAACAAACTAACAATGGGACAAAAGTGCCAGGACTACTCATACTGCACTACTTTCAGTTGCTATTTGTACTAAAGATCAGTATGAAAGAGGTTGTGAAATAGGACACATGAGGTTGAGTCAAGCAGCAAAAATTGTGCTGCTGCAAGTTGAACCAAAACGTCTTATTTACCTGAATGCTGTCTGAAGCCTCTGTTGTGCAATAGCTGCAAGCTGAAGCTTTGCTTCAATAACAATTTCTAATTCAGAAGCTGAACATTCATGAATCAACATGCCATATTTAGTCTGTATTGTTTCAAGAACTGAATTAATCCTTTCTTCAGCTTCTTCCAATAAAATTCCCTAAAATAATAAATGTGATATAATTGACAAAGTAATAAAAAACAAATAAGAACTTGGTTTCTAAAACTGCATGTATTTGATAAGCCTGCCATTCTGCTAGCATGACAGTTAAGTATCTTCAGCCTTGATGTAGTGTGAATACAGAATTGCTATGCCAGTCAAAATTAGAAGCAAAAAATAAAGAGCTTAAAATAAACAGCTTTAATTTATCTGGAAGAATTGCTATCTGCAACAAAATATCAATAGTGGTTTATATGTGTTAACATTTTAAATAGTACTATTACCTTTAGCGAGGCCATATTTAAAGTATCTTTGTTTTTTTCAAGCTCCACAATCATGATAATTGGCTCTCGCTTTCCACCTGTGAATGCTGAAGCTGGCATAAAACCTTGGTAAAAAAAGAATTCAGTACATTGTCATATCTGAGGCAACAAAACAAATACCATGTTTTCCCCAAAAATAAGTCAGGGTTTTATATTAATTTTTGCTCCAAAAAACTCATTAGGGCTTATTTTCAGGGGATGTTTTTTTTCCATGTACAGCAATCTACATTTATTCAAATACAGTCATGTCATCTTCTTCTTCTGGTTGCTGCACAATGGTGGACGGCGGGGTTTCACTTAACTGGGGCTTATTTTGGGGGTAGGGTTTATATTAAGAGCATCCTGAAAAATCATACTAGGGCTTATTTTCAGGTTAGGTCTTATTTTCACGGAAACAGGGTGAAACCAAATAAACAAGGACAACACACATCTCTTTTATTATTTTCAGTTATTTCCTGCACAACTCCAGAATGAATGGGCTATTCTTGTCCACAGATACCATGCAAGTGTCTGGTTCAGTGTTGATGACTTTAAATTACATGGCATTCATGTGAAAGCAAGATGGTTCAATGGGAGTTTCATGTCCAGAGCAAGTTTTTCCTCTTCCATTTATTTTTGAACCAGGAAAAATATTATTAGAACAGATGCCGTCATCCTGCTTAATTTACAATTTGCAAATATGAAACTGAATGGCCTACAAATATCCAATTCTTTAAAAGGTAATCCCTTGACCTTGATAATTTAGCCTCTGGAAATGAATTATCGAAAAGAGATGGAATCTAGCCTGTTAGTGAATCCAATCATTGTTTTGCTTTGCACAGGCTGAGAAATCAACTATTCTTGGATTCCTTATCCAACCATATGAGAACCACATCACTCTCCTTCTTCATATAGGAAGCAGAAATCACAAGACTTGATCGGGTGGTTGGAGAGTTGCTTGGACATTTTGAAACAATGCTACACTCTTCAGATGGATCCCAGTGCAGAAGACAGAATGAAGGGAGGCAGATTGCACTCTTTAACTAGTGATGGGGGCTTAATTTACACTAATATTCTGAGAAGCAGACGTACTGACAACTCAAGAGGTGCAACTCACTGTGTCTATAGGTAGGGTGCTAGTTGTACCATTCTTCAGCTTCTCCGGCCAAGTCAGAAGATGGAGGGTGGTGGAAGCAATCTCCATTGCAATAACTATGCACTTTATTTGAAGATAAAGGCCACAAAAAACTGAATAGCCAATCTGCAAACACATTTACGAAGCAGATGCTATGCTGGATTTCCTTCATTTGTTGTTTCTTGATCAGGTTTCATGCTGGCATAAAAAAACCCTTAGCAAGTAAAAGGCTGAGACGTCATCAAGCTGTGTTAATTCTTTCCCATTGCCACACTGTTTAGCACAGTGCATCTCTTAGATAAATGGCAACTAAAGGAAAGTTATGCAGAATAACTATTGTTCAGAAACTAAAGCTGAATCAGAGCAGTGGATATCCATGGACAGGTCTGTTCTGGTCAACTGTGGGCTAACAGACCACAAATAAGCACAGCCAAATCTTCACAAACAATACATTGGGGAAAAAAAGTAATAAGCAATTGCTGTATATGCAGTGCACCAATTTCTGATGAGGCAAAAAGGTGACTGGGAGACTGCAAGAAGAGGTGGAGGACTCACAAAGATGGCCTTTCTTCATTTCTAGTTCTATGTCCAATCCCAAACTGGGAACACAGCCAACGCATTCTGTAGAGCAATGGTCCTCAACCTTGGGCCTCCAGATGTTCTTGGACTTCAACTCCCTGAAATCCTGTCCTGCAGATGTGGTGGTGAAGGATTCTGGGAGTTGTAGTTCAAACACATCTGGAGGCCCAAGGTTGGGCACCATTGCTGTAGAGTATAGTACAGGAGATAACTTTGAAAATACTTCAGATAAAGCAGAAACTTTAATTATACAGTAAAACTCCAAACATTAAAAACAATAGCCCCTTATAGCTAAGATTAAGCATATACAAATTTCATTTCAATGAGAAAGTTTTAAAAGATTTAACAAGTTCTTAAATTGAATGGGTCATATCCTTTCTAAAGAAAACATTTTTAGCAAGATGTAGTGAAAGTATGCTAAGCAATAGAATTATTTTAGAAACATTGCAAACTTTATAATCAGAACTTTAATTTTCACTGAATTTAGTATATTCCTCATGCAGATATTTATATATTGTATTGATATCAGTACCTTTTAAGAATGCGTCTGTATTTTTGCCTGCCCTTCTTAATGTTTCAGTGTCCACACAATATGCTACTTTCATAACTTTTTCAGGAATACAGTTTAATGTTTCAGCCAAAGAAATAATGAAATGTGTTTTGGCTAGCATTAAGTTATTCACAATTCGTGGCTCACATACTGGTGCCCAGGCAGAATGTAGAGGTCTGTTGAACACATCTTCTAATGCCTTTGAGACAAAATACATAGACAGAATTCTAAGAGAAATGAAATGTAACTGATTGAATCTTAAGAGAGATACAAATAATACTACATACTACAACTTCCCTGAAGAAGAAAATTACCTTTTCTAAAAGAAGTGTCATCTCAACCCTTCTGTGAGGCAATATGTAAACATAACTAACTCGCATTCTATATGAGTTAGTTTTGACCTTTGCAGCCGCTTTCATCTTAACTGAATGGCATTCATCCCTTCAATTTGATCTTTCAACTCAACTTTTCAACTAGCAGCAAATATTAAACTACACTTATAATAATTGTGTGCCATCAATCTAATTTGACTTTGGTGATCCTTTCTAGGTTTTCAAGGTAAAGAATATTCTGGAGTGGTTTACTATTTCCTTCTTCTGGGGCCATCCTGGGACTGTGCAGTTTGCCCATGGCTGCACAGGGTGACTGTACTTTCAGGAGGCATAGTGGGGAATCAAACTCCCAATCTGCAGCCAAATACCTAACCCACTGAGATATCCAGCCAGCAAAGTACATTCACAGTGAACTCCAAAAAGGGCAGAAGAGTGAACAGTGCCACCATTAACTATTATATGAATATCAAAAGTGTTAAACTCCCCTCTTAAAAACTAACTGTGCATATTGAACAAGATGAATTTCCAAAAGATTTAAGACAAATCTAGGCAGTTCTCTAACATTACTGGTCAAATTTCAAACTCGGTACATATCTCTGATCATTCATTCATTCATTCATTCATTCATTCATTCATTCATTCATTCATTCATTCATTCATTCATTCATTCATTCATTCATTGATTCATTCATATAAAATATTTTTCTTTCATTAAAAGATTTTTAAAAGTGTTTAAAAGAATAAAAACAGATAAAGCCACTTTTAGCTAAAAAAAGATCAAATCATATAATCTTACCCACCATAAAAGTATTAAAGTATAAGGTAAAGGTTCCCCTTGACAATTTGTCCAGTCATGTCCGATTCTAGGCGGCGCTACTCATCTGTTTCCAACCCATAGAGCTAGCATTTATCTGCAGACAACCCTCCGTGGTCACATGGCTAGCATGAATAGACACAGAACACTGTTTACCTTCCCACCAAGGTGGTACCTATTTATCTACTCGCATTTTTGCATTTTGCATGATTTCGAACCGCTAGGTTGGCGGGAGCTGGGACAAGTGACAGGGGTTCACTCCATCGCATGGATTCAATCTTACGACTGCAGGTCTTCTGACCTTGCAGCACAGAGGCTTCAGCGGTTTAACCCATTAAGCAAATACATTAAAAACCATTAACATCACAAACGATGGAGATCTAAAACAGCCCAACAGAAAAGGTTAAACATCATATGCCAGTCTAAAAAAGATGTGTTTCAAACTTCCTCTCTCAGACATGAAAATTTATAGAGGAGGTAGAACTAGTAAAACCACTTCTTAAATATCTCACTTACCTTGAAAGCCTTGATACCCAGTGTGGTTTGGTCAATAGAGTGATGGACTAGGGCTCAGACTCTGGAGACCAGGGTTTAAATCCCCACTTGGCCATAGACACTCCCTGGGGGAGTGGAACTGGTAAAGGTAAGGTAAAGGTTCCCCTTGACAAATTGTCCAGTCATGTTCGACTTTAGGGGGCAGTGCTCATCCCTGTTTCCAAGTCATACAGCCAGCTTTTGTCCGTAGACAGTTTCCGTGGTCACATGGCCAACGCGACCAGACACAGAATGCCGTTACCTTCCCACCGTGGTGGTACCTATTTATCTGCTCACAATTTTTACATGCTTTCGAACTGCAAGGTTGGCAGGAGCTGGGGCAAGCGACGGGAGCTCATTCCATCACGTGGCTGCTGGTCTTTCAACCTTGCAGCCCAGAGGCTTTGCAGTTTAACCCACAGTGTCACCCACAGGAACTGGTAAAACCACTCCTTAAATATTTCACTTAGCCTGAAAGCCCTGTTAGGATCACTGTAAGTCAGTTCTCACTTAAAGGAACATGACAACAAAGAACATACTTCTGATTTCAGATTATCAGTTGAAATGTGGAGAGGTGAATGTGCATAAATTCAATTTTTGATTCAGTCATATATATGATTTAGTTTATTAGCTAATACAACCATTCTCCTACCTGTAGGTTTGCATTTGTCAGGAGGGATTGTGATGAATCAAACTTTGGAAAGACCTAAATTTAGAACAGCATATTAATTAACACTGCATTATAACAAAGCATGGATTTGCTTTGCTGATAGAAATAAGGAAAAATTAGAAGTTGCAGCACAGTAACAGAACTCTGTTTAATTGGGATTTGGACACAAATTCATAAAGCAATCAACTTGACTTAATATATCTTGCAGAATCTTCACTAATACTCTGTTTAGCCATCTTTCACATCTTGAAAGTATGTTAATTTTATTTTTATTTTTTATTAATGCTGCTATGACAGATCTTTACCTAAGTATCATATCAAACAGAGAAGGAAACATAACACTAAATCCAGGCTAATCATTGCAGAAAGCAAGAAAGGTTAAAAGTAGAAAAGACCAAACCCTCTACCGTTAGAGTATCTGTGAAGTACTATTTGAAGACTCATACAAACAAGCCAAAGCCCCCGACAGAAAAACTGACATTAGGAAATTATATTCATTGGAAATTGTTTTGAGAAAAGAAATATTTTTACCGGGAGTTTTGGAACAAGCTTGTAGACAGAAAGTAGCTTCCAAGGGATTTTCTCTCCACGATTAAGAATACATAGTTCATGGAAGGCATCAGAGAAAAATCCTAAATCTGTAAGAACTTTGATCTAAAAAAAAAAAAACATATTAGCACTACTTTTAATATTTGTTTAGTGTTAATGTTCTAGTGCTGAGATTTCCAATCACAACAGTTCATGAACAATCAAAGTGTCCTTGGGGGAAAAAATTAGATTTTCCAGTGGGCACACAGTGCAGAGCTGCAAGTAGCAATTTTGACTCCTGGGGCAAATAGCACTGTCTCCCATCCATTCCATCCTCAAAAATGGGCATGGGTCCACATCAAGAAAAAGTGGTGCTCCATTAAAGAAATAGTTTCAAAATGAAAAGAAAATGAATCAGATGAGGAAATATTTTCCTCCCACTCACCAGCAGATTCACCAGTAGATGTTGGAGCCCTATAAAATTCGACACCAGCCCAGTCGCCCTATCTTATGTACAGCCCTGATGCAGCAGCAGCAGTATTATTAATCTCACAAAGTATGAAATCTGGATCTCAATTATGTAAGTTATGGCTCATGTTTGACCGGACTCACAATTCCATCAGTATTATTCTCATTGCTTTACCCCTTATTTCATTATCATCTATTCCCCAGAAAACCAGAGAATGGACTTGCTCAGGGGCAATTGTGTCAAATACCTGCTGCACTTCCCCATTTCAGAGATCAACCACAGCTTCAAGAGAATTGTCTGCCAACATGACACTAATGCCATTGTCTTGGATTCTGGCCTCCCTGAAACACTGGTTATCCTTCCCTTCCTAACTGCACCAAAAGTGTTTGAGGTAATCAAAAAGTAGTTCTGTCTCAGTTTTCTTCTCATGTGCTCACAAAATCCTTAAAGGATTTGTAAATAGTCACAAGAAATTGAGAAAGCTCATACAATTCTCAAGGTGAATGCTCAGGGGGATGTTCACCCAACTCTATAGGTTATAGCCTTCTTCACAGCCTGAACATGAAAAGGAATTTAATTTTATTGCATAAATAGAAACTCTTTTCCCAGAAAGTTACTAAGTAATCTTCAGCGTAATGGTCCCATGAAATAGATTCAATGGTACATATTTATTAATGAAGTCAGATTATATGTTCACTGAAAATGTTACTGTGTACAGTTTTCATATTTATTTACCTTGAGAATCCTTGCTTCAATACATTTCATTGCATCTCGGCAAATTTCAGAAACAAAGTATTGATATAATGTGAATAGTGGCAAGATCTGTGAAGACAAAGGCAAGTTCTATTAATATTTATTTATAGATCTATCTGTCACTACTGTTGTAGCATACAGCATCCAAAAACATAAATGACAACATTAGAATCCAGTATAAGAAACTTGAGAAAACTAATTCCAAAGAAAAAACAGAAAGGTCGCACTGAAATTAATAGCTGGGAAAATAATGTTTATAAGCCTAATAAAGCATACATTCTTATATCGGCTTAGCTAGCTTTTCTGCTTCGGAAAAACGAGGAACAGTGATCTTATTCTTACAGTATATTTCCATCTGCTATACTGATATAATTTATATCTATTGAAAACATAGAATAATCCTGTGATAATGTTAAAGAATGCATTTTAAATACTGTTATTCAACACAGTGAGACTTTTGGATAAACATGTCTAGGACTATGCTACATGACTTAATATAAAACATTTTATTATGTTTAGGAGAGATTCAATTCTAGCTAAAATAATACATTTCATAATGTCCATGTCAATTAATTGTGTGGAACTATGGTTTTAATGAAGCTACTTCATTTTACACAGAAGAATACCTTTGAAAAATCTTCACAACAAGCAAGGTAAAGGGAATATTGAATAGATAACCATCTGGCCTTCCTTTTGTCATGCAGCATTTCAGAAATGTAAACAGCTTAATACAGGGACCGAAACAGGCACAATCGTGCAGGAGGGTGGAAGAAAATTCATGGGACAGAGAAGGGTGTGCTGACTAGTGGAACATGTTGAAGCTTTTCAGAAAGTATTTGTTCTTGTTATATGCTGCCAAGTAGCCTATAACCCTATGAATGAGTGATCTCTAAAACGTCCTCAACAGTCTTGCTCAGCTCTTGCAAACTCAAGCCTGTAGTTTTCATTAGAAGTCAATCCATGTTGTATTGGTCTTCCTCCTTTTCCTGCTGCCTTCAACTTTTCCCAGCATTATTGTCTTTTCCAGAGATTCTGGCTTTCTCACGATGTACTCAGAGTAGAACAGCCTCAGTTTCATGATTTTTGCCTCCAGATATAGTTTAGGCTTGGGTTCTTCATCTTTCTAGCAGTCCAGGGTATCCATAAAGCTCTCCTCCAGCACCATATTTTAAACTAATTTTTTTCTGTACAGCTTTCTTTACAACTTTCACATCCTTACATGATGATCAGGAATACACAAATGTTGATTACCATGGCCTTAGTTTCCAGTGACACATCCTTGCACTTGATTATCTTTTCCATTTCCTTTATTGCTATCCTTTCTACTCTCAGTCTTCTGATGTCTTGGCTACAGTCTCCATTCTGATTGATGACTGAACAAAGGTAAACAAAATTTTTATTTCAATTTCTTCATTGTCGATACTAAAGTTTTGTACTTCTTCGGTAGTTATGATTTTTGTCTTCTTAACTTTCAATTGTTTTGTCACTTTCTCCTCTCACTTTATTAAATTTTATTTCAAGTTATTGCTTCTTTCTGCCAATAAGACGGTGTCATCTGCATATCTTAAATTATTGATGTTTCTTCCACCAATTTCCAATTCTTCTTCATTTGAATTTAGTCTGGCTTTCCATATGATATGTTCTCCGTACAAAATGAACAGACAAAAGGATAAATGCACCCTTCTCCGACACTTTTCCCTATAGGAACTATTCTGTCTCTCTAGATCAGACCTGGGCAAAGTGCGGCCCTCCAGATGTTCCTGAACTGCAAATCCCAACATTCCTCGCTGTGTAGGCTAGGCCCAAATCTCCTCACACTATTGGCTGTGTGGGCTAGGCCCAAATCGCCTCACTATTGGTTGTGTGGGCTAGGAATTATGGGAGCTGCGGTTCAACAACATCTGGAGGGCTGCATTTTGCCCACCCCTGCTCTAGATGATGTCCTAACAGTAGCTTCTTGTCCACGATACATCAGGATAATCAAGTGCTGAGGCAAAACCATTTCTTTCAGAATAAGCCATAGTTTCTTATGATCCACACAGTGAAATGCTTTGCTGCAGTCTTTAATGCATAGACTGATCTTCATCAGTACACTACTGAAATTCTTTGGTACATTCTAGAAGTCAGTGGATATTTGCAATATGATCTCAAATGTCTCTTCCTTTTCAGAATCCAGCTTGAACATCAGGCATTTTTCTCTCTATATAAGGAAAAGCCTTTGCTTGAATGGGAAATTATAGCAATGGTCATTTAGTTACTGCACTTCTTAGCATCTCCTTTCTTGGGAAATCTGGATGATGTCATATTTATGTAGATAAGAGCTAGTGAATGGAAAATCTTTAGAATATTGTATGACAAACAATACATGTATGCATCATCTATACAACTCGGGGCTGCAAGCCTTTCCTTAGTTGGTAATAAGCTATACCTGTACTTTATTCAGTGACACTCTCAAATAAACATTCATAAGAACTGGCATTTTACTTAGCAAGTTATGTTAGTTTCTAATCTGGCTGCATGTCCTCTGTGTGGTTTAAGGATGAAAAAATAGGTTAATCAAATTTATAGCATATTTCTACAGAAAAAAGAATGCAAATTATTGATGTATTTCCACAGTACTTACTATGAGATTTTGCTTGCTACAATGCAACTCATATATAACGAAATTCAAACCTGCAACAACAGTTGCAATATCAGCTCTGTAACGATCCACAAATAGATCAATTCCAGGAATTAAAACATCTGTTTCATACTGTGCAAAGTCACAATCAACTTTAGGATGCGGTAGTGAAGCTCTAAACAGGGACTGAAAGTTATAGAAACATTACACTTTTCAAATGTTATGACATAAAAAAATCTACAGATATTAAATAAACTTGTTTCATGACTCTAGCTAGATCTAAGCCAGACATAAAGGCTCAAGAAGCTAATATAATTGCTAGGAAACGAACAAATTTCTGCTGCTGCTATTCTATTATACGATGCTCTATCTTGTAGCAATTAGATAATTGACTACAGGCTGAAACTAAATCATGACAAGAAGAAGGGAAGTCAAATTAGCTATCTGAGGGATGCCAAAGCTCAACAATATTGAGTCAGACATATCCCCATTAAAGTGCATTCTGCGGAACTATAACACCAAACTACAAATCCCAGAATTCCATAAGATGATGCCACAGAAGTTCAAGCAGTAGCAAACTGTTATAACTGTGCAGTGTTAATTTAAAGTGGGTCTTGTTCTGGATCCTGTCACTGAAGGCCAAAATAACTTGTGCGATTGCTTATGCTCACACAAAAATTGTTTCCACAATTCCTCAATGACCACATCGTTACAGCCTACCGATTTTCAAACTCTATTCACTAGTCTAAGGCCTCTGTCCTAGAAAATGGGGGGGAGGGATGCACCTGATTTAATATCCATGATAGTAGGGAGATGCAACAGCCAGGAGTGAATCTTGCCCATTCTACAGTCTCCTGAAATGACACTCATATATTCACTAAAAGGAAAATCTGTATGCAGAAGTAGAATTCCATGTATTGATCCGTGTGCTGAACTAGAAATGTTTCATGTGGAATCCAATAAACTGCTGATCAAATGCGCTACATTTTAGCTTTGATCATTTTAATCACCTTTCTCTGGGGTGAGGACAATTTCCAAACTACTTCTCCTTTTAATAAGTGATTAGCACTGTCCACTGCCATATCTATCAGGTGTGCATAATGAACAACAGAATGCTGTTCAGAGGAATATTTAAAGCAGAATTACAGCATCTACAGCTTAATTTATAAAAATCATCAGTCTGTTTACTGCACCCATTCTTCAAAAGCAATGTATTGTAAAGTTTCCAGAATTAAAAATGTGTATACTTAGCTCAGCATTTATATATCAGAACTTAGCTCATCATATTATTATGATAAAATATTTTATTTGTATGTTAATGCTAACATAGATTATATATGTCTCTCTATTCACTAAAGCAGACATAATCTAAATTAAAGCACACAAATTACCTTGAAGAGAAGAGCAGATAAAATACAGGCTCTAGTTCTTAATTTCACGTCGTATAATAATATGTGCCTACGTGCAAAAAATGAAAAACAAAAAACTGTATCTTACTGTACAAAGAAGCTTATGTCTTCTTTAGGTTAACCAATCAAGATCATTCTTAAAAATTACATCAGATCACGAGCCAATCTATTTTCCTCCATCTAATTTATTTATGCTAATTAATTTCACTTAATATATTATAACTGCACAATAGTACGGCTACATTATTGTACAGCAGGGCAAATCAACATTCTACAAGGCAATTCCAAAAATTGCCCCCCCCCGCAAAAAAACTATATAAAACTTTGAAATTGGACTTTTGATCAGCACCAAAATTTGGCACAGATGTAGCAGACAGCTCACTCTCGCTCTGTGTCATATTTCGGCAAGCTTGGACAAAGATTTTTGAGTTATGATTTTTTTAAAACTAAAACTATTCATAATAACTTCATGCTTTGTTTTAAGCAGATAGTATCTCTGATGTGATATAAAGTGCACTCGATTTTTGCAGATGTTCATGCCAGCAGCTAAAATATAGAAGGCAAGATTCCTACAAAAGATCTAAGCCAATTAAAATATTTAACAGGCAATGCATGCTAATGTTGGCTTGTAAAAAGAGTTTGGGTAGTAGTCACCAACACAATGAAAATATTGAGTCAGAGGTTGGGAGTTCGATTATCTACTGTGCCTCCTAGGAGAAGAGCCAGCCTGTGTAAGCTGTAGGTAAGATGCAGAGTTGCACCTCAGAAAAGGGAAATGTAAACCATTTCTGAATGTCCTTTACCTAGAAAACCACGGGAAAGGTTGCCATTAGTCAGAATCAACTTAACAGCACGAAATTATTGTTCAATTCTTCCAAAAAATGTGTGAATGTGGAATATTCATAATATCATGACTGCATGACCAGTAGAGGAAATTCAATTATTCCAAAAAATGTGTGAATGTGGAATATTGCTGCACAATATCATGACTGCATGACCAGTAGAGGAAAGGAGCTAAATGTTATATACCAAAGGCCAGCATAAATGTTGATGATATCCATGTCAGCAGCCAAGATGGACTACAAATACCCTCTTCTGCTCATTACCATTATTAGTAACCTACAGCTCCCAGATAAGATTACGAAGACTGGACCAGCTGATTGTGGAAATGAGCATGAGAGGAATCTTGATAAATGTGCCCAGAATTTTGGTTAAACGCCTCTAACCAATTGATATGGCAACATCCAGACATATCACCTGGGGACAAACGGTAACTTCCAACCCATTCTGGAAAACACTTCCCTCCCTCAGGCTTTGGACAGTTAACCTGTACTTGCCTATAGATGACCGCCTCCAACCTTAAACAATAACGCAACAAACAACACAACATGGAGATGAAGAGAGGAATGAGACATTGCCACAAACCTAAATGCCAGCTGGGCCCCCATATCTACACTGGTGGCACCATCAAGGATCTCAACATTGTCAGCCATAACATCAGGAGGTTTTGTTGTTGTTGTTTTCGATTTTTTGTGTGTTTTTTTTGTTTTGCTGGTTCATCCTCTAATGTGAGAGGTAGATGATTCATGCAATCATCTACCAAATGTGCCCTTCTGCATTCTACATAGGAGGATCAGGAAAATATTGGTGTAGAATAATCAATAGATAGAAATCTGACATCAGAAATGGCAATGCAGAGAAATCAGTTTCTAAACACTTCACCTTCCCAGCATGTTCTGTTACAGATGTCAAAGTAGCTACCATAGGAAAAAAAAATTAGAATGCGAGACTTGAGAGGAGACCATGGAAACTGGCTACATAAATAATTTCCAGTGCATCTACAAAGGCAGAAATGGAGATCAAAGCTTCTTAGCTTATTGCATATATTTATAACCCAGCTTTCTGTAACATCTATACAACAGTTGTGTCCCTTGACAAGCTCTGACCCTCAAACAAGTCTTAGTGTTTCTGTGATAGCCAATCTACCCCAGCATAATCTCCCATAGCCTCAAGTGACAATCTGATAGCCCCATTACAAAAGCACTGTCACTTTTTCTATTATCTGTATCCTCACCAGACTATCACCACCATTGAGATAAATAATAAGCAATGGGTATTTGCACTCCTTGAAAAGAAATGGATTTTATCCCAGAAAGATAACACTGAAATAAATACTTTCCCTTTTTAAAATCTCTCTGTTCTTCCCCCACCCCTTTAATTTTGCCAACATCCTAGGACAGACTAAGGGTATGATCGCACAGGGATCTAGATTGAATTTTGGATCACTTGTGGAACAGTCTGGGGCGATCTATTTCCAAGCCATCACACAATGTACAGAGAATTGCATTCCAATCTAACCTCAAGCTGTGCCCAAGCTGGACCTTTCGGATCCACGTTTAAGCTACTACTGTTTAGGGCTGGGCTAGAGCAATTGCTCAGCAGATAGAAGGGTTTTTGTTTTGGGTGGTTTTGTTTGTTTGTTTGTTTGTTTTTAATTTTTAGGATGCAATGAATTCTCTGAGGAGTGTTGTCTGCTCTTCTTAAAACAATTTTTGGCATGCTCACGTTGCTGTTTTAAGAATTCATCAATAAGAAGATCTGAGAATCACCCCACCCCTATTATTATTATTAT